GTACTCCTGTTGGACTACTCTTTTAGACTTTAACTTATTTGTAAGTCAGTTCTCTGGTTTTGCCTGCCTCCATTGTCTCATTCTCTTTCCACAGACAGTACATACAATTGTGAGGTTACTTTATATTGGAAGGGACCACAAAAGTTCCTCAAATCAACCTCCTGCTTAAACCATGTCAAGCGTTAAAAGATGTTGTTGCTTAGAGGCTCTAGTGCCTGACCACTTTCATCGTGAAGGTTTTTTAATTTCTTCATCTGATAAGAATTTCCCTTGTTGCAGCACGTCTGTTGCCTCTCCTCCTTTCGCTGTGAACTTCTAAGAAACATCTGGCTGTGAAGATAGTGCTTATGTTCCCCCTCCCTGCTTTTACCCTTCTGTTCTGCAGATGGAATAAACCCACCTGCTCTAACCGCTTCTCGTGCATCGTGCGCTCTAAACCGGGCCCATCCTAGTGGCCTTTCTTGGGGTTGTCTCCAGCTACGTCCATGGTTGTGACTCCATTCCTTGCTCTCTAAGCCTGATAGAGCTCTCCCAGACAGCTGCAAGCTGGAAGCTTAAAATTCTTGTTGCTAATTGTTGCCTTCTTTGAAACAATCATCAGTGTTTGTTATTTAATATCTTTATTATATCTATTTTCTAGTGGATTTGTCCCTGCCCGTGGCAGGGGGGTTGGAACTCGAGGATGTCTAAGGTCCCTTCCAACTTGAACAATTCTGTGATTCTATGATTATGCTGTCTTATGCTTTGGAAGTTTTAGTGCAGAGGTGGGAAGGTGGTTTGTACTTCCCAGGAGGGTTTCTTCCAGCCGTGAGGTGCTGTGGGCATTAATGCAGATGGTCAGTAGAATCATAGAATCATTCAGGTTGGAAGACACCCTTGGGATCATCGAGTCCAACCATCTCCCCTACTCTACAAAGTCCTCCCCTACACCATATCCCTCAGTACCGCATCTAAATGTCCCTTAAACACAGCCAGGGATGGTGACTCAACCACCTCCCTGGGCAGCCTGTTCCAATGTCAAACCACTCGTTCTGTGAAAAATTCCTTGCTAATGTTTAGTATAAACCTACCCTGTTGGAGCTTGAAGCTGTTCCCTCTTGTTCTGTCGAGAGTAGAGTAGAAAGAGTGACTTTCCTTTCTGTACTATTACAGGGAAAAGTATTCAATCCTGCTCCTTCTTTCCTGTGACAAGAAATTAAAAGATGAAAGTCATCAGTTTCACCAAGGGTTATCCTATTTTTTTTTTCCTTGATATTTTTGTTTGTTTATATTATTTTTTCTTTTCTAAGGTTAAATCTATTCCCCTTAGTATATATAATATACCTGCCTGCTGTATTGCTCATCCCATACCCCGTAACCAGCAGTCTTGAGATATTGTTGCTTTGGGCACTTAAGTTTCAAAATACGTCGCTAGTATTTTCCTAGGTGGGTGTGAGACGAGTTGTGTAAGGTGTAGGATGTGAAAATAATTATAGATCTGTTCCTCTCCCTTAATGAAGGGTGTCTGGAGGAATAGGATAAATAAGCAAGAACACTGGTTGTGACAGTCTTCCCGAGCAGGCGGTGTGGGATGCAGGGTACTGTCTTCTCTTCTGCTGTGTCTGTGCTCTGCTGCTCACACTATGGTTAGCACAAAATTGCTGATCTCATTTGAGTTTAACTGGCCAAATATTTTTCTACCTAATTAGCACGAGGCTTTTAGGTAGATGTAACTTTTCTGAACTGTATGTGATGTGTAAGCACTTTGGGATATTGGGATATAGCAGATAGTTAAACGTCTGTGTTGTTCAATCTGCATTTCGTAGAGAAAGAAACTTCATGTTTTGCTAAACTTTGTCTGTAGTAACTGAGCTATTTCAGTGACTCTTTCCCTGTTTTTATTTGCCAATTTGCTTCCTTCCATTCCAGGCTGGACTCGCCTGTGCTCTTCTGTTCTTGCTTGTGTTCTCTCCCAGTTGGCTACTAGTTCTCCTCCCTGATGTTCCTGCCCTCTCTCCCCCCAGCCCCCAACTTCATTCATATGCTTTTCACGTAAACAATCATCACTTCTGTGAGGGATGATTTTCTGCTGGGTTACAGAGCCTGTTTTCTTCTACACACTGCAACAGATACCAAAACAGGATTTGAAAGTCCAGTGGCATTTCAAGAAACATTTCTTCCAGCACAAAATATCATCTCAAATAGATACAACTTTTTTAGTCATTTCAGATAGTGGGTTTTCAAGTGGCAATTATTTCTTTGTTACTGTTGACTAGTTGGCAAATGTTGCATTTAGGAATCAAAGTTCTCACTTTCTGATACTCACTTGCACATCTTATGCTAAAATGTGTGACTTGACATCCAGTGATGCATGTGCCTTTATATTTAATGTGTGTTCCTGCCAGATAGCCCCGCACGAAACTCTTTCTGTTATTACTGAGGTGGGAAGACCTGAAGATCAAGAAGCTTCAGGGCTTGGTTTTAATGATCCAGTTCAGAGCATGTTCTTTGCTGACTAATATCCTACCATTGTCTTAACAGCCCCAAATCATCATCCAATAATAGATAACCGTGACTTAAAAATGAGGTCATGAATGCCTGTAGTCATCATAGTTTTACTTGTAGATAAAGGAATGGCTAATCTCTCCATCTCGTTACATTTTGAATGTAGAAATCATTTCCTGCTTGCTTCCTTTAATACTTAAACTTATAAATAGCAGCTTTTTCAGTTCTGACTGTGCTAGTTCTGAGTTTGTGATAGCTGTGTTTACCTGCTTCTCTGGCTGAAGGAGGGTCCTCTCTTTTAGGGGTCCTTCGTGATGAATGATTGTTCATAGCAGCATATAAAACTGTCTTCACAGGTTAAATATTTGCCTTCAGATTAAAGGGATGTTTCTGGTTAGCCTTAGTAGCCCATAGGCAGGCACTGGGCTTACTCAAGTCTTGATCCTTCTTGAGCTATGGCTTTTGGCAGGGCTGGCAGATTCAGTGAAAATTACTATTTTATTTTCAGGGTGGGAATAGTAGTACCTACCAGAGAAGGGCAACGAAGCTGGTGAGGGGAGCTGGCAGATTCAGTAAAAATTACTATTTTATTTTTAGGGTGTGAATAGTAGTACCTACCAGAGAAGGGCAAAGAAGCTGGTGAGGGGTCTGGACAACAAGTCTTATGAGGAGAGGCTGAGGGGGCTGGGGTTGTTCAGCCTGGAGACAAGGAGGCTGAGGGGAGACCACCTCACTCTCTATAACTACCTGAAAGGAGGGTGTAGAGAGGCAGGGGTTGGTCTCTTCTCCCAAGTCACAGGCAATAGGACAAGAGGAAATGGCCTCAAGTTGCACCAAGGGAGGTTCAGATTGGGTATTATGTGATGAATGATTGTTCATAACAGCATATAAAACTGTCTTCACAGGCTAAATATTTGCCTCCAGATTAAAAGGATGGTTCTGGTTAGCCTTAGTAGCCCATAGGCAGGCAAGCACTGGGCTTGCTCAAGTCTTGATCCTTCTTGAGCTATGGCTTTTGGCAGAGCTGGCAGATTCAGTAAAAATTACTATTTTATTTTTAGGGTGTGAATAGTAGTACCTACCAGAGAAGGGCAAAGAAGCTGGTGAGGGGTCTGGACAACAAGTCTTATGAGGAGAGGCTGAGGGGGCTGGGGTTGTTCAGCCTGGAGACAAGGAGGCTGAGGGGAGACCACCTCACTCTCTATAACTCCCTGAAAGGAGATTGTAGAGAGATGGGGGTCGGTCTCTTCTCACAAGTCACAGGCGATAGGACAAGAGGAAATGGCCTCAAGTTGCACCAAGGGAGGTTCAGATTGGGTATTAGGAAAAATTTTTATGTGGAAAGGGTTATTAAGCCTTGGGATGGGCTGCCCAGGGAAGTGGTTGAGGCACCATCCCTGGAGGTATTTAAAAGACAGGTTGACCTAGAGCTTAGTGGTTTAGTGATGGTTTAGTGACATGGTTTAGTGGTGGGGCTTTTTTTATTAATGTTGATGATTGGACTAGATGATCTTTAAGGTCCCTTCCAACCTAGATGATTCTGTGATTGTGTCATCAGTACTATGTTGCATTAAGTGAAGGTAGCGAGCTGCGTTATATCACCTTTGGATGGTGATATAGTTCCCTCTGCTGTATTTGTCACTATAGCATCATGGTCTTAAGTAGCCGCTTCCTTCCCTGGCATTTGGAAATAAATTATGGGACTATTATATATTATTATATCAGTTGCATTGTCAGTATGGCTCCTTGTGGTTACACAATTGTGAGAGTAGTAAATCTAGAAGAAAGATAGAGAGGGTAACTTCTCAACTATTTGAGGAGTCTCTAGATCTTGTCTACTAGAAGTCCAGGTTGAACAAGAGCTGGATAGCTTTGTGTTAGGCAGCCACCCTCAGGTTTTGCTGTGCTCCTGACCATCTTTTCAGTTACCAACCCACTTTTTTTTAACAACATTCACCTGGCAGCTTCTGGTGTTGTAGCTAGAGGCTCATTTTTTCACTTAACATTTCCTCTGCCCTTTTGAAGGTGTTGATTGCTTTGTATCAAGACTAAGCAGCGTTTGAATTTTTTATTACTCACACTGAGCCAATGTCTAGAAGGGCTTACTGGTCCATTAAGAGGCTAGAAATCTGAGGTTACAGTTAATTCCAGTCATAATCTTCCAGTAAAGCTTGATTAAATAGCAGCATGTAAGAGTTATTTTGCTATTTAATGCTTTAGATGTTTGAAAGCTGGGAGTTGTTAGTCAGAGATAGTGTAAGTCGTTATGGTACTTCTATTCCAGGTCCTTCTAAGGACTATGAAAGCAATTGAGGACCTGGAATTCTTGGCAGTGAGCAGACTGGAGTTTGTATTACAGGGTTCTAGTGCTTTTCAAGAAATTATTTATTTTACTGGGAAGCCCCTTGGTTTCAATAGAAAATATTGCTACATAAAATGAGAGATTTTTTTTTTTTATACGTTATTGATCTTCCTTCACGGAACTTGGCATAATAACAAAAATTTCTCTCTTGCAGACTTAATCCAGTGCACAAATGAGATGAATGTGAACATCCCCCAACTGGCAGACAGTTTGTTTGAAAGAACGACCAACAGTAGCTGGGTAGTGGTCTTCAAATCTCTCATCACAACCCATCATCTAATGGTGTATGGAAATGAGGTAATACAAAAAATCCTTTGTCTGAGAACAGTTACAGCACTTCATTTCTATCAATGTCAGCTAAATTCTTCCACTAATTATCTTTGTAACACAATATTTATTTTTACCTTTTTGTATCTACCTGCATGAACGTAGGTCTCATATTTGTCTACTTAGTTTATTTCTACCTTACAGTTTGTAATTTTAGAATCAAAAGTGTCTTGAATGCTGAAGGTACTTTTTTCTGTGGTGTTATTGTAACAATATAAACCAAACAAAACCAACAAATTATCTGCAGTGGGATTCTGAATGCTGAAAGTGAAAGCATTTTTAGGTTCATGTTCTAGCTAATCTGCGTGGTCTCTTCTCCCAGATAACTTGATTCTGAAACGGTTCCCCTATCATAGAATGATATGGGGTTGGAAGGGATCTCTGGAGATCATCTAGTCCAACCCCCCTGCCAAAGCAGGTCCACCCAGAGCAGGTTGCACAGGAATGTGTCCAGTAGGGTTTTGAACATCTCCAGAGACGGAGACTCCACCACCTCTCTGGGCAGCCTGTTCCAGTGCTCTACCAACCCTAAAGTGAAGACGTTCTTCCTCATGTTTAGATGGAACTTCTTATGTTCAAGTTTGTGCCCGTTTCCTCTTGTCCCTGTCACCCTCTACCCTTTTCCAGTGAAGACAAATATGTGCCTGTGAGCATCTATTTAACACCAACTACTATAGAATAATGAAACAAACAAAACCCCAATTTACAAAAAAAGGAATAAGCTTGTTTTATTCCACAACTTTAATTCCTATGGGGACTTATTCTTTGAAATGCCAAGCCAAGTGTAGCAGCAGCTTGAATTTTCTCTATTTAAAAAGTCAAAACTATACTTCTAAGGGTTCTTAGAAAGTGTTTGTAAACATTCACTTTTACTGCAAACAGTCAGTGCAATGTGAGCTCTCTGAATTTTGGAATGAAGAGGTATAGCTTGAGAAAATTACAAGTAAATTTTGTAAAGAGGAGGAAAATTTTTCATTTCAGACTGCATTCAGAGTTCTTACGGGTTGTGCAACTGTTTCCTCTGGCTGGGTTGTGGCAGGGGGTTAAGTTGTTGTGTGGTTTGGGGTTTTGGGGGGGTTGGTTGGTTTTGGTTGTTTTTTGTTTTGTTTTTTTTAAATACACATACACTGGTTTCTCCTGCGGGTTAGCTGCAGAGTATTTCTGGTCTTGGTTAAAAGCTATTCCTTGAAGCCACGTAAGCCACAAGAGGGCAAACTTCTCATGTTCACTTGAAGAATTATCACTGGGATAATTGACACTTTCCAAAAGAGTCTGTATAATTTTGCCGTGCTTGCGCTTTCTCAGTCATATACATCTTAAACTGATACCAATACACTTCATAATAATTAAAGGTATTTAATGGGACCACTTTCTGAAATGCTTTCCCTTTTAAGACTAAAACTGCCAAACAAATTTTACTTGCCAAATATGTTACAGAAGTAACAAGGGTAAGATTGCTGCTCAAGATGAAACTTTTCACAGCTAGAAATAGTATTTCAACAATGAACATGGAAATCGAGCAGTTATGAAAGTGTCTAGAAATGTGTAGAGAATCTATAAATTCCTTTTTTAAAAAAACACCAACTGAGAAATGATTGGTCCTCTAGCTTTTGCTTAATTAATGTATAGCTAAGTACTGAGTGCCTTTACTCTTCTCCAGTCTTTTTCTATATAACCTGTGCATTTATGCTAATGAAAATAATTCAGTAGGACACGTTACGCTAATCAGAACTATTTTTGCCTCTGTCAAAATGTTATTCCAAGTGAACGATTGGTTTATTTTTGTAGCAGCTCTCGATACAATGGTTCACAAGACAAAATTATTTTTCCTACTAGATTAAGATGTGGTGCCAGTGATCTGAAATGTGCCTTTACAAGATGAAAAGAGCATCATTCATTTTGTAAAACATAAGTTAGAATTATGGTGTAATTAATGAGATGTTCTGGGCGTGATACTCAGTGTTTTATGTGAATTCTTATGTTTGCTTAACATTTTATTTACAAGCAAACTAACCTTTATATCAACTTATTTTCATATTTACTCTAAGCACTATTGCAATTGTATGCTGAGCAAAGATGCTTTGGCTAATTGCTAAAATGTAATCAACTTATAAAATTGAAGTTGAAACAATTGTGAGCATGTAAAACAAGAACATATTTAGGGGCATTTTTTCAGAAGTTTCCAGTTTCATATTCTGTCTTAAAAGAAACAAATTTTTTCAGAGGCCATCCTGTAATATCTGTGAGACAGATTTGTTCACAGATTTTTACGTAAAAAATAACTAGCTTTGTTTAAAAATTTTATCCGAGTTTTTGTAATAGTGTCCAGATTTGAAACCAGTCTTAAGAAATAAAAGCTGAATTTCATAGGTTGGATATCAAGAGTTTCTAGTACTGCTACCTCAGTTCCAGCTCATGGGTATTATAGTTAAAGCATTCACATTTTTCTTTTCGTCTAGCGTTTTATCCAGTATCTGGCGTCCAGAAACACATTGTTTAATTTGAGCAATTTCCTAGACAAAAGTGGATTGCAAGGTAAGGTGTCTTTTTCATTCAAAGTTAGTAGTGTGCACTAAATGCAACTCGGTAACTCTAACGGACTGTGTTATTTAATAAGTAATTTTTCTGTCTCTTTTACTCAAGACTGCATTTCTTAGTTTAAAATGCTGCTGTGGCGTGGCAGAAGCTGGAGAAATTTGTTGTATCTTTTAGAACAGGCTTATAAATGCTTCTGACTTTCTAAGCGAAGCAGATCTGACTTCATATTTCTCCTATTTCTGAAGAGACTTATCTATTTGGAGAGGTAGATTTTGATTAGTAAGTTACACTTCAAAAAATGTGTTGTATGTACATCAGATACAGCATGTCAGTGGGGCAAGATCTGTGTCTAAAATAAAAAAATAACTTTGGGAAATTGTTCATGGACCATTCCATCTATCTTTGAGACTAATTCTGTGGGCAAATAAGTTTCTCTGTGGTTCAGACTTTTTAACTGAAATACCCCTCCCAGTTGTTACGCTGCAGTTCAGTGCAGTTCTGATCATGCGTTTGGCTGTTGGTTTTGTGGGGTTTTTTTTCCTCCTGAGGTGGCTTCCTATTTTCTACTATAATTTGTATATCATTGCTTCTAACTTTTGCCACAAGTGCACTAAAACAGGCACACAGAGTGTTTGCCTGGGCACAGAAACCTTCCCAGTGATAACCAAGGGTCTACCAAATTGCCTCATTTTATTCAGTCTTAACTTCCATGGCTCGGTATAGATTATGGACAGATCTTTTTTTGTGGTCTTCTGTAGTCTGCCAGTTACCAAAATATTTCCTATTGCCACTGTATTTACATAAAAAAAATTCTGTCATGTCTTAATGTTTCCTTCAATGCCTTTATTTTTTTCTATTCAGTTGTAAATTGGAAAGTGTGTTGTAGAGTTGATGGAAACATCTTTGAGTGCATCTTGTAATTTTTTGGTAGTAATTGCAGTATGAGACAAGTTGTATAAAATAGTTTGGTTTGCTTTTGGAAGTCATTCCCTTAGGAAGTGAAATGTACACTTCTGTGTAGTTTAGGTCTTCTAGATATTTGTGGTATTGCCCGTTTGATTTGCATGGTGAATACAACGACGCACGTAGTTCTTCATAACACAGATTAACTATACAAAATAAGGCAAAAATACAATGAAACTGTCTTGAGTAAATATCTTGCCTTTTATTTGGAATAAGGTTCTTGTTCTTTGACTGGGTAAGTAATAAACTTCTGAAACTTGTTTTTTAGGCTATGACATGTCAACGTTTATCAGACGGTATAGCAGGTATCTGAATGAAAAGGCAGTTTCCTATAGACAAGTGGCTTTTGACTTCACAAAAGTAAAAAGAGGGTAAGGATTGCATTTTTGGTTTACTTATCTTGAGGTTTTGTCTCATGTCCTGTAATTCAAGTAGAAAATACCGATGTTGGCTCCTTAGTAGACTCAGTAGACAGTAGCGTCTGCTTTTCTCCGTTGGATACTTCACATCATGCACAAAGCCTCAACTGCCCAATTAGGCATTATACAAATTTTTTTTTTGCTTCAGTTGTTGTAATTTTGCTTCTTTATATTAAAGTATTAATGTTTAAAGAAATGAAAATAGTATGTATCAAAGTATATATCAAAAAAAGTAGAAATTTGGACAAATCTTCCACGGTACATCACAAAGTTACTTTGTCTTAATGAACTCACAAAAATCTCAACCTAAAACTTCTGAGTGAGTTAAGGGCAGTAGTGGGCTGCCTAATGGTATCTCACATTAGTGTTAAAAAGCTAAAATTGGCCCAAGAAGACTGTCCAAATCCCATATGCCTCTTTGCTAATACTGTACAGTTCACTTTATTTTGAAAAATGTGATGGTAAAATCTAAGGGGAGCTTTTGGGTTCCTTTCACTGTTTCTGCTTTTAGAGATGGCTGGAGTCCCCACAGCAGAAAACACTCAGCCTTTTCCTCCTACAGGATGTGTGCATGGTCAGGTGGCTGCAGTTACACCAGAGAGTTACACAACTGCTTGAAAATCAGGTGTTTTAGGCAAAATGAGGTGAATTATTTAGCCCAGAGCATCTGTGAGCCAGCAGGAATAACTGTTCTGGTGGCAGCAATCTCCCTTTTCCACCCCTCAGTGTTTCTTGAGGGCTGTGGGCCATGCCCTGCCACGTTAACTTTGGGGCAGCTGCTGGTTTTGGGAGGACTTATCTCACATAAGAGTTGTTTCTTGTCACTGAGGTGACTCAATCTCTTCCTCAATTGTTGCTTTTCCTGAATATTTTTAGACTTTGTCCATTTAATCTGGACAATTAATAAACAGCCAAATGTTGGTAGTCAGCCGTTAAAAGGAAGTGTCATGTAGTCTCAATAAGCTTTCTGAAAAAGCTTGACAAATACATTGCCACATTTATTTATTCTTTCTTACTGCTTTTAGTTGGAAAGAAAATCATCCAAACAGACATGAAACAATCAGTTTCCAATCAGTTGATTGGGAAAAGCGGAGATAAAAATTTGCTTCAGAAATAACCTTCATAGTACTCTTTGATGACCTTGTTGCATTGTAGCTCTGCTAAGTTTCTGAGCACTATCAGTTTCATCTCCTCAGGATAAAAATTGATCTTGGAGTCATATTTTGGCCATATAAAAATTGTTGCTGGACAGCATTCCTCAGCATCAAAACACCTGCTTTGAATGGCCATGATATAAATGTTTTCTGTGATGCCCTATTTTAATTTTCTGCATTTTGTTGCTCATTAACAATTGTATTCAAAATTCAGGTGAAGGATTCTCTTTTGTTTTGCACAACAGGGCTGATGGAGTGATGAGAACAATGAGCACAGAAAAGCTCCTAAAAACTGTACCGATTATTCAAAATCAGATGGATGCACTTCTTGACTTCAACGTAAGTTCAGCGGCACGTACATGTCTTAATGTACTGGGAACCTGCAGAGGCTTGTAAAATAGGGCAAGATTAAAGGTCTTAAACTTCCATGTTCATCCTTTTGTGTCAATGTCACCTGCACAGCTTGGAGTACAAATAATTTTGGTCATTGACATACTCCCAAGAAACGAGAAAAAGGAAGCAGGGTAACCACTGGAGAGGGTGCTTTGTGCTGAATTAGTGTTGTTTATTGTGTAAGATTTTTTTTTTTGTTCATGTAATTGATTATTTCTGCCCTCTGTCTTTTAGTTACATTTGTTAACATAGATATTAGTCAACAAAAATGTCTGCCAAAATTATTTGATTTAATTCTGTGCTCAGAGATCCTGTGTTGATTTGCTGGGCTGCTATTTTCCACTAATAACCAGTGAGATGACTGGAAAAGGTGCCTTGGGATAGGATACCCGTGTTCAACTAGAAGTTTTTTCAATAAGGGATCAATTCAGTTAAATTAACTTTTTTCTGATCTTCCTAGGTCAATAGCAATGAACTTACAAATGGTGTCATTAATGCTGCCTTCATGCTTCTCTTCAAAGATGCCATTAGACTGTTCGCTGCGTATAACGAAGGGATTATTAACCTCTTGGGTAAATATAACTGCTTTCTGCAATGCTAAACTGCTGGGAAGAAACAATTGCAAAGAGCTGCTCTTTTCTGAGAAATCAAAAGAGTCATACTGTAAACCAGCAAAATATTATTATTTCCAACATTTTTCTGTCCAATTGCATTTCCCATTGTATTATATACAGAGATTGGTAAATTTCTGAAAGAGAAACTAATTCAAGATTTTTTCACTTCATTTTGTTCTCACACTGTTTTGAGGTTTTCTAGTTATGTTGTTTTGTTTTGTTTTTTTTTTTTAGTTTTTGTCCCACTGAACTGCATGGCAAACCCAAACCATGATATTGATGTTTCTTATTTAAGAGACAAGATCAGGTTTCGTTCCTTTTTAAGTAGAATAAGTTATGGTCAGTTAGAAATTTGCAGTCAAGCATCTGTGATTGACTCTTGAAACTTTAATGTCAGTTGGTTTAATGATTGGTTGGCTTTGGTTGGCTTTTTTAAGGGGAATTACAAATTCAGGCTTCAAGCCCTTTCACTTGCACACACTGGAGATGCAGAGGAGCCTAAATCTGGAAAAGAAGTTGAAAGGAATCTGATATGCTTGGTTTAGTTGTATTCTGTGATTGGGCCAAGCTGCCTGATTGCTGTTATTACCCAGTGCTTGCAAAATGGAAAGCAGAATTAGTGAGGGGCAGTCACACCTCCAGTCTGAAGTCCCTGTCTACTTCTTTTGTCTCAGCCAGAAGAACAAGCACACAGCTGCTTTCATGTGTGTTTTGAGAGAAGCTTAGTACAGAAACAGGGCTTGAAAGTGCTATTTCAAGAAGGGAGTTGGCACCAGTGTTTTGCAGTCGGTTGGACCTCAGTGTAGATCACACTGTAACAAGAAGCATCAGTCTGGCAGTATCAAAATCTTGCCTGGTTTGTGGCTGCTGGAACAGAGTAGGTGATGGATTGCCAGATTGTAAAATTGCTCTTTTTTCCCCCAAGAGCGTAGATATAGATTTCT